TTCAAAATTCATAGAGATCCCTTAAATATTGAAGGAATTATGAGTGGCCCAGTTGCCTAAAAAATACGTTTATTGGTTTTAATTAAAAAATAATTCATGTAAAAATCTGTAATAATTCCTGCGGCAGCGTATCGATAATTAATACTCATATTCCAAAATTCATAGAGATCCCTTAAATATTGAAGGAATTATGAGTGGCCCAGTTGCTTAAAAAATAAATTTATTGGTTTTAATTAAAAAATAATCCATGTAAAAATCTGTAATAATTCCTGCGGCAGCGTATCGATAATTAATACTCATATTCCAAAATTCATACAGATCCGTTAAGTATTTAAGGAATTATGAGTGGCCCAGTTGAGCGAGTCCGCAGGCGAGTCCGCTGGCGAGTCCGTAGAATTGTCGATCGAGTGGCGCCATGTTATGGCATCGTTTGCGCGACCGATAATATCGGATGATGGCGGGCATGCAGCTTCCTAATCTAGCAATGACGTGTTAACAGCGTTGAATTAACGTTGATTCGGCCAAACAACGTTAAGTTCAACGCCAGATGTCTGAGCAGCGCTGTTCTCGGCCATTGTTATCTTCTCTCTCCCCAGATTCGTCTTTACAGGATAATGAGAAACAACATGTTCGACAAAATACCGTCAATATCCTAAATTTGTGACAGCTTTGGTCAGGCCTGTTGGCCTGCTTCTATTCATTATTATGTATTGTTTTAGCAGTTATAAAACAAATTTGATTTCTGCTGTCATGCCTCAAACTATTCAAGTTTGTGATATTCACTTTCAATTAAATAACTTGCACGACCAATACGTTTGAGGTCAATCTCCATTTCCCAAGAAAGAAGCAATGTCATGAAAGTGAAAAATAATGAAATAGAAATTAATGAACAATTCCTTGACAATTATTTATTCCTACTAAATATAGCCCCCTGACGACCCAAACAATCAACTGTAAATTTATTCGATTAAAATTTTCATTGTGTTCATTGATTTCAGTTACTTCAACTGAAATTCATGATTGGAATTGTTATAGATGAGCATTGACATTGTAATGACAGTTAATTAAATTAACCTAGGATTTCTAAGTTGCGGAGTAATCAATATCAAATGTAATGAATGCGAGTACAACGAATATGTCTCATGCGGTGCAGAGCTCAAAATTCTATGTTTAGTGCATAGCCTGAACATTTGATATGTTCCGAGGACGACAAATGCTATATTAAATTTCTTGTGTTTTTCTTATTGATGGGAACAATGCGTATAGCAGGAAGGACTGAAACAATAGTGCAGGTACAGCAGCGAAACTCAAAAATATATGAGTTAGCTAGCTCTGAGCGCCTGCTGGCTATTCTGTAGCCCTAGTAAACTGTCAGAATGACATTGCTTATCTGTCGAAAATTTATCTCTTAAATAAATGGAATAAAGCGGTGGAAAACAATATATGTATAGTTATAATGCGTAGTTCCTACTTCTGCAAAGGAATTGTAGATGCTGTCCTATCTCTGGCAACCCTGACGATTACTGGATTCCCTAACTCCCTTTCGTCCAGCAGGCGAGACCATTCATTCAAAGGAGACAAGAGAATACTGGTGCAGGATAAACCGGTAATAAAGCCATGTTGACAGTCTGGTAGGAGATTATTAACAGTCAAATGAGAAATCAATCGATCCCACACAACAGATTCCATTACTTTACAAACAACACTTGTCAATTTAGGGCGATAGTTACCGGGACTACTTTTGTCACCTTTTTAGCGCATTTTCTCATTTATGGAAAAGATACGCCGCTATTGTGCTCGCCATGTCCGTCCGTTTGTCTGTCCGTCCGTGACTTCACGTTTTCGTCGACGAGAAAACGCGCTCTCTGTCACTCACTGCAGTGAGTACTGAGTTATATTTTTTAAACAATGGTGTTACTTGGACTTCTTTCCAATCGGTCGGCAAAAGACCTTCTTTCCGAAGGTCTTTTGAAAGAATAATGTCAGAGGGCCTGCCAGAACCGTTGCTAATTCTTTGAGCTAATCTATGTATGGTGGGAGCCGTCTGATCTACATGACTTGTTGGGATTCAGAGCGACCAGGCGCTCGAGAACCTCTTCTTCGGGTATTTCAAAGCCTGTTAACTTAGAGCCGACTGGGCGTTCCTCAATATCCGGAATACTGTTCAAGTCTTCATCTGTGAACGCACTGCCAAAGAACTGATTAAGAACGTTAGCATTGCCCTTATCAGGGGATATCTTTCGTTCGTTGGTCTACTTTCAAATCAGAAATACCGTCGTTTGTCTTACACTTCGAACTAGCGACATTATACATATTTTTTCTGCGGCACCGACGTCGAACAGAACTGAACCTGGTCCTCATACCTGCCCACGTACCTGGTCCCGGTACCTGGTCCCGGTACCCGGTCCCAGTACCTGGTCCATATACCTGGTCCCCGTACCTGGTCTATGTACCTGGTCCCGGTACCTGGTCCCCGTACCTGGTCTTTGCACCTGGTCCCCGTACCTGGTCCCCGTACCTGGTCTATGTACCTGGTCCCCGTACCTGGTCCCCGTACCTGGTCTATGTACCTGGTCCCCGTACCTGGTCCCCGTACCTGGTCTATGTACCTGGTCCCGGTACCTGGTCCCCGTACGTGGTCTATGTACCTGGTACCTGGTCCCCGTACCTGGCCCCATACCAGGTCCCCGTACCTGGTCCCTGTACCTGGTCCCCGTACCTGGTCCCCGTACCTGGTCCCCGTACCTGGTCCCCGTACCTGGTCCCTGTACCTGGTCCCCGTACCTGGTCCCCGTACCTGGTCCCCGTACCTGGTCCCCGTACCTGGTCTCCGTACATGGTGCTCTTACCGTACCTGGTCCCCGTACCTGCAACGTTCTGGCCCTTTATAAATGTACCACAAAATGATCCTTACAAATTGACCATTTGAACATTAATTAATCCTTTAGAAATGGTCCTTTAATTAATCCTTTAAAAATGGATCATTAATTAATCCTTTAGAAATGGACCATCAATTTATCCTTTAGAAATGGACCAAACCGGCATCCGTTTTCTTGGCTGGACAATTTTGAATGCGATGGTTTGATACAAACTTGAAATATACTCTCAGCAAAATCACAAAAAAACTCCTTCAAATATGGGCAAGATTTCACTGATCTGTTGAACATCGGATATAATAAGCTTGAGGCGCGAGGTTACGAATTTAGAAAAAAAACTCTGTTGAGGCTAAGTTAGCTTACATCTTACCCGCAAAGGAGCACAATCGATGTTCGACAACTGTCAAGGCCATGGACCAGCAACCAATTCCATCAGCCATAACAAATATACTTTTCTTAAACGAAATCTCGAGATCTGTATTATTGTTTTTGCTAGGTTTTATCTTCACTCATGTGTCAATATGTATATTTGTGACGTGATGTTAGCGTTTGATATCGGACGATGTCCGGCCTGTCGTCGATTTTATCCATCGTAAATTTGTATAGCTATCTACGGGATTCGAATCCGCCGTGCAATACTTCAATATTTTGTAATTTGACAACTCGAGTGGCAAACTTCTTTGAAGTTCACAAATCCCTGTGAATGGCAGCAAACCAAACAGCCGAATCTCAGGCGATAATGACTGTAACTCACTTGGACGCAAGCATTATTGCGATGTGACAACTCTTCAAAGGCATTATTTGCTATACATAGACTCCTGAAATTCAGTGCATATCCGTCTCAAAAAGAAAGATATTGCTTTGGATGATAATGCACAACAGAAAGCCACACGCTTATCGTCACAAAAGCCAAAAAAGAACGAATCCCCGAGCGTTGAATCTGTTAAGCTGTAGGTAACATAGGTTTTAACATTAACCTCTGGTTACCAAATGCAAAGTGGGACCATTGTGTAATCTTGGTAATCTTGGTACTTGTTTGGGACATAGCAGTCCCAGGCCACGATGGATCGCTGCCTCTGTTTATCGTTCATCCGCCCTCATTTGGGCCATCTGATGCACGATGCTGTTACTTGCTTCTCACCGCTGGTAGTGTTGCAGGGGAGGTCGATCTGGGATTGTGCCCAGGAAAACGTCCAGTTCTCTCTTGAAGGTCTCCAGGGTGAACTCCCCCTCTCTTAGCTCCGTTGGTAGGACGTTGAACAGCCTTGGCCCTGCCACGGAAAGTGATCCTTCCCGCAGGGATTGAAATCTGACTGCGGATCTGTTACGTAATGGGAGGATCTTGCACTGTCTCCCCCTTCTCTCGTTATGATATGTCTCTATCCTGAAGGTCTCGCTCTCAAAGTTTGGCACCATTCCGGTATCATTTTCCACGTGTACAGAATGACATACCTCTCCCGTCTCGTATGCAGTGAGTACAGACCCAGGCGTCTCAACCTCTCCCAGTAGTTCAACTCTTCCATCCCTCTGATCCTGGAAGTGAAGGTTCGCTGGACACCTTCCAGTTGCCGCACTGCGCCGAGTGTGAACGGGGTCCAGAGCTGGCAACAGTATTCGAGAATTGGTATTACAAGGGCTCTAAAGAGTGTGAACATCGGTTCCGCTTCTCTTGTTTTGAACGTCCGCCAGATCCACTCCATCTATCGCCTACCTCTTGCGGTTATTGCAGTTACGTGATCACCAAAATTGACCTGAGTACGACGAGAGAACATTGTACTAGAAAGATGTTCGAAATTCTCAGATCCACTGTGTAATCGAGGAACGTATGACATCTGAATTCACTTACAACTTAAATCAATTTTTGAAAGTGATCAGACAAACCTCAATTTTGTCATGAACGCTGTATATCAGTGAATTATATTCATGCAAAATATTTTACCTGATGCATTATTAGCAGTTGATTTTGTACTCATCTTTTTATTAGTGCATTAGAGATACTATTACTTAGTAATAGTTCTTGTAGCTTAATCAGAAATATTTTATGATTGTTTGTTAAGAGATCCAAGTGCTGTTATGGCACACCTTCCAAAATGCGACGAAGAAAAAGATAAGTTCTTGAAGATTGTTTTGTTTCCCGCAGGTTGTGGTAGTGGTGCATCTATGGTGACGAACTGGAAAATGAAAAGTAAAAACGCTACTATATAATAGATTTTTGATGTCTTGCACAGTCTGGGCTTGAAATTTAAAAGCATTAGCGACAACTTGATATCAATATCATGCCTGTTTGCTTTTCATGTAACTATCTCCGTGGTTCATGCCGTTCAAATATCTTAAATGAATTTTTGGAGAGATATATCATAATCACGCAAGTTGTTATAGTTCTGAGTAGATAGACCTCAGCTTGGGCCATAGCCTATAGGTTAAACAAATTTACTCTCAAATCTATGATAAATTTTTAAAATAGGTGAGTGTACACATAATTTGCTCAATTGTATTATTTTATTGCATTATTTACAAATTACACTTGCAATTTACAAAGACCTGAAAGTGAAATATGATTAGGCCAGGTCTCATAGGGTGGCACAAGAGTCGTTGTAAAATTTATCTCAAGGTCATCTGGTCGTTGAACAACCGCATGCCAGTCGATAGTCGATAGGATTTATGCAGTCCGCAGCAGTCGATAGGTTTCTTCAGTAGTTTGATAACTTAACAATGAAAACACTAGTGACTAGGCCTAGTTGTTAATAATGAGATAGGGTAAACGCGGTATATTCTGACATCGTAGGTAATTCCGTCACTTCTCTAGTTTTTCCTTTATATTAAGCTTTGTTTTAGTTCCATGCGTTCATTGATGGTTGAAATGGTGACGTCAATCACGTCATACATTTGCGTGTCGAAATACTGTAAAAACACTAGGTCTTGGCCATCTAGCGGGAAAATATTGAGATCCAAAGAGAGACAATGCATGCCACGTGGTGAGATCATCGAAAAATGTGTCAAATTTGACAGTTGACATGGCTCTACCCCAGGATGGAATTCTAATTTTGAAGGTTCATATATTATTTCGATCCACCAAGACCACTTTTTCTATCCAACATTGTTATTTGAGTGGGGGAGAGCCGGGGCATGGCGTTATAGGGACGGCGGTTTGCGCTTTAGCCTGTGGAGTAGAGCGCCATGAAGCAGTGGCTGTGACGTAACGGCGCTGTTATGTCGGGCGCTTATTTTCAAAAGCCGCGAATACGCCAGGCTGTGTTTAATACAAGCACGCAACAGTTTAGCTATTTGCCCACGACTGTTGCTTCGGTGGCTTGATGTTATCTGGCTGATTGATTCATATCCAGGAAAGGAAATGACACCTATGGCTTTAGGCACTTAATCACACAGGCTAATATGCCCTCTAGCGTGATTACGAGCGGAAAGGAATAGATATTGAATTGTGGGCAAGGGCTATGTAGGGGCCTATACTGCGTCCCTCAGATTTCATGCAATTTTGTTCTGAAAGAATTGAGCGTGGTTCGATTACGCAGAAGTTATGTTCTTTCGTTTTTTGTGTCAATTGAGAACAAAGTGGCGTAAACTTTTTTTAATTGTAATTTCAGCATATTGCTAATAATTATTTTTGCTGCGAGTTCCGTTTGTTCATAAATTTGTTCAGAATTCAGGGACTTATGAATGGTTGGGTTGCTCATTAGTTGCGTTTTGATTTTGAACTCGCAGACAAGCTCGCAATGATTGTCAACCATGTCACAATAACAACTCCAATCTCACTCAATAACATGAGCTTAGTATCACCGATTCTAGAAATGTATACAGAGGACTTGACATTGATGCTTAGATTTATATAACAAGTTTTTGATCTGTGAACATGTCAAGAAAAGTACAAGAATGTGCAAAAGGCCTATTCCTCAACGCCAAAGATACTATATGCTATCTAACTAACTTATATAACTAAGTTCGCAACTTATATAGCTAAATGGACAAAAAGTTGCAGTGAGCCTGAAATATCTTTTAAACCATCGGCTCGGACAAATTTAGGCCGGACTCCAAATTCAGTGAGCATGGAATATCTCCCAAACTACTGGACGTAGCTCGATGAAACTTGGTACACATAATCATTATAGGCTAACGTAACGGTGATGTTTAGCTCGTGACAATTTTTTTTGATTTTGCCTTCATTCGCGAGTTATATGACAATACGTGCCGAAATTTGCAGTGCGCATGACATTTCTTCTAAAGTAATGAACAGATTAGAATAAATTTTTGAATATAAATTTCTGAATACCCAACGATGTATTTGTCCGAGACGTAATTTACCCGCTCATCCGTTTCGATTGAAAACAGGCTGTAAAAATGTAAAAAAAAAAATCCTCGTCACATCGCATGAACCAACTCTCACACACCGGGTATAAAATGAAAGTTATTTAGGTGATGGATGGACTTAAAGGGCTCGAACTCTTGGGTGTAATTTTTTTATTGGAAGATTTCCTTGCTGCAATTTCAATAATTACCAAAATATTCGGGGAATTATTTTTATTCTCCGGAGGGGGCGGTATTGTTGAGTGTTGACAAGTTGTCGCACTTACACACAAGTTACACTCACAAGAGAGAGAGTCAGCTGCGTTGACGTGCGTTCATCGAGTGAACATCTCTAGTGTCTATCACCCTTGATTGCGTAAATTTAACCGGCAAATAATCATTGATAAATCACGTTTAACTTGATCTTGGACTATTATATATACCTATTCTATCTTGTACTTCTATATTAGTATATATACCTCGAGTATATTTAGCGAGGGTCCCGTCCAGAGTCAAGAACCCAGCTGGCTTTCTCGCCCCCTCGCTCCTCTCCCCAGTCCCCCCTCCTCTTCTCTCCATGAGAAGAATTAGTCCTAGGTAGGAGTTGGTTTGTGGGCCAGCCAAGGTTTGAAATTTGAATTAAAATCCCATAATTTCAGTTCTCTATTATTATCTCTTGCATATTAAAGTTAGTGGTTAAAGTGTTTACTGGAAACGTCGTGTGGTCACCAAAACTTGAAAAAGACAGAAATTTAATAGAGTGTTCAAAGACGTGCAACAAGGATAATTCCGGGCTTGAAAAGCAAGTCCTATGAGGAAAGATTAAAGATTATGAAGCTTCCAAGCCTCAGTTATCGATGTCTGCATGGGCCCTTGGCCTTGGGGGAACTCATTGAGATTGAAGCATACAAGTAACAGTAACAAGCATAGTGCTAGTGGCAAAGCAGAGAGTTTTTTAGACTCTACCTCAAGTTCATTTTTGAGTCCTATAAGTAGACCTATAAAGTATCCTGGATACCAGCATTATCATACATAAGAAATTGGTTTAAATCTTGAGTAAATAAGGAAATTAAAAATGAACTGATTCTAAAAAAGCTCTGGTTTGCCAAGAGTTTTTTAGACTCTCCCTCAAGTTCATTTTTGAGTCCTATAAGTAGACCAGTAAAGTATCATGGATACCAGCATTATCATACATAAGAAATTGATTAAATCTTGAGAAAATTAGGAAATTAAAAATGAACTGATTCTGAAAAATCTCTGGTTTGTCACTATGTCCAGATTCCTCCAGAAGGATTACTAGAATTTGAAACAAGAACCAACACCAGGGAGGGGCCACAGCTATAAACTAAAAAACTGCATTGTAACACATCCATGATCCATGCAACAACATTTCTTCTCGCTTTGAGTCACCGACATGTGGAACAGTCTCCCTGATAGTACTGTTGATCAGTTGATGCTCCAAGTATGAACGCCTTCAAGAACAGACTAGACGAAGCTATGCAGCGCAGGAGCATATGTTTATTATGTTCTGACATAGTGACAATCTGACAAAGCAGAGAGTTTTTTAGACTCTCCCTCAAGTTCATTTTTGAGTCCTATAAGTAGACCAGTACTTAAAGTATTATGGATACCAGCAATCCAGCATTATCTTGGTTTAAAAATTGGTTTAAATCTTGAGTAAATGAGGAAATTAAAAATGAACTGATTCCAAAAAAGCTCTGGTTTTCCACTATGCCGGCATTCCCAGGATGGTGCCGTTTTCTGCGGATTAATCCGGCATAAACGAGGCTCCAAGCCCTTCTACTGGCGTACAAAGAACTAAAATAACGTTATTGGTGCACACGCCCGTCGTACATCCGCATCTGGCTTGTCTCAACGTATGTCTGCATCTGGGCCATGGTCAGGAAGATGTGCCAGGTGCGCGGGAATTTATTTTGTCATTTTAACGACCTGCGCCGGCTGCGCGGTGTGCCATACTACGTTGGTAAAAAAATGCGCCGTGCGCCGTACTTTAGAAAGCTAAAATAGTTCTACTATTTTAGTCGACAATATACGCCAGTATATTGACTACGCGAGTCGAACTGACAATAATAAAATGTAAGACATGTCTGGGTTACTTCTGACTCTTTTGGTTGTCCGCCTTGTTGGATACGGTGTTATCGTGTGAGTCTCAGCGCACCACGAGTTGCAATTTATCCCCTCTTATAACAGGAAGGGCCATGACAACGAGAATGAATAAGTATTTGTGGAAGCGCTAGTTCTTGTCTAAATTTAATGTTTGAAAGCTTTAAGGTTTTAAATTTTATTAGGAACAATATCAAATAAACAAAGTAGGATTTGCGGTAGGCCTAAATGAAATCTAAAAAAAACACTAATAAGGGAAGAGCACAGGCCGGGTTAATGTGAACTTGACATTACCATGCCAGCTGTAACAAATAAATGAAATTAATAAAATAGCAAAAGATGTATAATTTAAGGAGCTGTGATTGAAATGATTAATTAGTAATCAAGCATTGCAAGGTAAAGTAACGGCAAGGGACTTATCAGTTAACCTTAAGAAAGCAAGCAAGGGATATAGTCATAATTGAATGGGATCAAAACAAGTTAAGTAAAACCAAAGAACCAAAAGGGTTTGCAAGGTGAACACGGTTGAGAATGCAATGACAGACTATTAAGTATAGTTGACTATTTGTTTAAAATAGGAATCATGAGGAAATGCAGTATTAAATATAATGAATCAAAGAATCATAATAAATCAAGAACCAATGCCTTATTTACAGAAACACAAGTTAATTAAAATGCAGACAAAACATATATATATACAAGGGTGAACATTCACTAACCAGCATGGCTAAGCACGAGTGATCAGGACTGTCAGACCGCTCTGTTACACAGCTGAGTATCATTCATTGGTCTCAGCTTATAGTTAATGAATATCTGTAACAGAGACTGAAACAGAAGAGGACAAAGACATTGAGGTGAGGTAAAAGCAAGGCCGGAGGCAAATAACAAGGATAAATAAGCACAGATAGGCTGTGCTACACAAGCCACAAAAGCCTCCCGGCAACAACGGAACGTACGGTAATTGTAAACTGCAACGGGAAAATTCACCGAAAACATACATCATCCTGAGTGTGGCATCTGGGTGATCTGGCTTGTCCCGAC